ATAAATTTAAGAAAGAATTAAATAAGAAATAAAAAATATAAATTTGAGAAATGTAATAAAAAGCAAATGTACATTGTATAATATTAAATAGATGGATGCTTACATAAAGATGGCAGTAGCCATATCAACCGGGTCATAACTCAAAATAAAGTCCTTCTTTAGAATTCTTGCAGCATTTAATATACTTAAAACCAATATATTTAGCAACAGCGGTGCCATGCTGTTGCACCGTGCTATGGAATCAACGTAATGGAAAATTTTCGGCAATACTTTAATGTCACAGGTAAGTATGGCTTTAAATTGTTGTCAGAACAACTCTAAGAAAATTTACATTAAAAAATTCATTAACAACTCCTATCAAAATTAAGATAAAAAATATATGTATATTGAAATAAATGCATGAAATGCATTTAAAAGCAAAACTTGTTGTTTCATTTAGAAATGGTGAATTTAAGAAAATATTCATATTTTCGTTGCTTTTATTGTTTCCGGCACAATTTCATGAAAAATACATGGTCACTATATTCCTAGAAATTATTAATATTATAAATCAATTCATGTTGTCATGTCCTTTGATTTACCGTTTAAATCAGCAAAATCCGTGCAGGAAAACGCAAGTTATGCTTAAAAAGCTGCACGATATAGTAATATACTATGGAGTACAGTACGAATAGCAAATTTCCGTACAGCTCTCATATGACGCCTAAAAGCATGCTACAATTTTCGACATATTTTTGCAGCCGCCACCTACTTGGCACTGCTGCGCGCCTGGTGCATACCGGCAAAATTGTAAACGCCACAAAATCGCATGCGACCACGTGCGGTTTGTGTCTCGGCTAAATTAGCTGCTTTTGTTAACGAATAAGCTGTTTAAACGTTTTTAAGCATAACTCGGACAAATCTCAACCGATTTCAATGAAACAGGTGTCAAATGAAAGTGCAGATTTTTGGCTAGCTAACTGTATATAGGCGTCTTAAAAATTGTGGCGGTATATAAAGTAAAACTCGCCTGGAATATGTAGAGTTCTGTTTTGAAGAGTATAAAATAGAAAATTCCGCTTAAAAATTTGTTTGCAAAATTGCGAACTGGTGTATATTAAGTTAGATACAAGTTAAGTGTATTGTCTAGCTTTTGAAGGTGCTGTTGGAGGCAATTTAGTGCACATTTCTTTTATATTTAACTACTAACTGTGTATTTGAAATCAAAATATACTACTTGTTAAAAAAGCAAATAAAACAATATTGTGTTTTTTTATTTTTTGAATAAAAATGAAACGATTTAATTAAGTTAAATTGTTTACTTAAATTCTGTATTATTGTTTACGCTCTTGTTCTTGCACTTAACGCATTTTAGTTTAGATATTCGTTGAAAAAAAGTATGTTTTTTTGTTCTTGTTATTGTTAAGTTTGCATATTCTGCTTAATTTTCTTTGTTTTTTTTTATGTTTTTTGTAGTTGTGTTTTGTGTTTTGCTATTAAGTATGCATGTATGTTGAGTACGCACTATATATGCTTGTAATAACTTGTACAATAGTTTTTTAAATAAAAATAATTATAATTAAAAAGTAAGACAAAGATAATATTTAACTAGAATGAGAAAGAAACATTAACATTACACACACACACACATACTGTAACAATAAGTAGTGTAGCGGAGTAGCTAATTATTTATATTATAATAGTATTTGTTGTTGTAGTTGTTCTTGTATATAATAGTAGTATGCATAGGACTAATGGGGTTTGAAACTGTTGGATTTTACACAAACATGCTTAACTGCGGCACAATTAACAACAACCACTGCTGTGTGCGGCAGCTTGTCCTCGACCCTTTACGGAGAGGCAAACAGTTGTTAAAGGATTAAACAACTGTGAAAACAATGCTAGCCGCCGAGTTGGTTGGTTGTCAGTGACAGCTTTACAACAAAAATGTAAAATATGCTTAAATTAAATTGTAATTTAACCTAAAAATAATAAAGTAAACAGTTACATGGTTGTCGTGAGTGTCCAAAAGTTTAACGTAAACTCCTAAAACGGCGTAAGGTAAATTGTAAATTATAAATAAAAGTAATATAGCTTGATTTACGTACATATGTATGTCTGTGTGAGTGTATGTAGTTAAGTAGCATATTCGAATTTAACCTCACTATTTTGACAATGCCTCTTTGCATGAGCACATTTACAAGGCTTAAAGTAATGTTGTTGTTGTAAATTCTTTTCCTTTCAAAATATATAACCAACTGGGCATTACAAATACAAATACAAATAAATGATAAATAAATTATGAGCCTTATGCATGCAACAACAACAAAATTGCAGTTTGCACGCTTACAGTGTGTCGTAAAAGTCAAGTAGCCATTTTTTAACTCGAAGAAAACTATTTTAGCGGCATACAATACATACAAAATATTTACGTTGCAGCACATAAAAACACAAAATTATTTTTCTGCACTGTTTTTTCTCTCTTGCTTTTCAGTACATAGTTGTTATTATTGTTGCTACACTAGCGTTGAGACAATAACAACACAAATTGTGACAGTTTGTAGGAAAGTAAAATTTGTTGTTAACACTAAGAGTAAATAATAAAAAATTATATGCGTAATTATTACATAAAATATTTTGTTGTAGTTTTGTTGCATTTTGCTGCTACATACTATTGTTTATGACAAATACAGTTATTTTTTCAACATACACTGCATTTAACAATTCTGCTTTACTTTACTTAATTTGTTTTTCTGCATATAACCTTTTTGTATATATTTGTATATAGATATATATTTATATGTAATATAAATAAATTATTGTACGTTATAACGTTAATAAAACAATTCTTAAATTTTTGTCACTTTAACTACGCATTTCTCAAATTTAACTTTGCAATTTTTAGGTTAGGTCTTGCTAATTCGCTTCGCACGCCATTTTTCGCTATTTTTCTTCAACTTCAACTTCACTTCAACGGCTTTTAGTCATTGCTGCATTGCCTATTGTACATATGTAAGCGAGTTTGTTCATCGGCACTGGTTATAATTTTAACTTATTTACTTTGTGTTCGGCATTTATTACATGCTTTTGCTTGCGCTTGCATTTTCATTACTTTGCGCTATTTCTAGTTGCTGCTCTTTATGCAATTGATTTTTTATTATTTTTATTATTGTTTTTGTGTATGATATATGCAAGTAGTTATGGATGTACGTCGGTATTTATATATGTATGTATGCGTGTAGAATTTTCAATTTCTTTATATATGTATATGTGGAGCGTGTGTGTACTCATATGCATTACAATTTTATTAAATATCTGCTTCGTTACTAATTATTTATATTAAGTATATATATATATACTTTTATATATGCAGCTGTATATTTATACATATATACACACATATATATGTGTTAAACGATTATCGAATTTCTTTTTAATTGCTAGCGGTAACAAACAAACAACAAATGCACCATCATCATCATCATTATCAATATATATGTAGTAGAGTAGTCGCAGCCTGACTTATGCCTATTCATTATTATTATTATTATTTGTTTTTGTTGTTTTCTCTTTATTAGCTACAACACATTTCTTCTATAGTGTTTTTAGTTTCATATTTTCTCCACTTTTTTCTTCAAAACGCGCGGTCGCACCAACGACGTAAGCAACCGACTGCAAATAGGCAACCACTTAAACACACACACACACGCATTGACAGTGCAGACTGAAACACCAGCCATATTGCGGCAACAAAATCTGATAGACCTCGTTTGCTTTTAGCTGGCATATATTTGCTTAAGGCTGGTGACATTTTGCGCGTGGGTGTGACATGATGCTGCGAAGATTGAAGATTGTATGCCGCGTGTGTGTGTGTGTCTGTCCACTATTTTGTATGCGCTTGCTTTAGCTCATTTGTATAACGTATCCACGTGAATCATCGGCTGCGTTTCGGTTACGAGTTGTGTGTGTGTGTGTGTGTGTGTGTGTGTGTTGGTCGTTGTTGGCGACATCGTGTTCCATCAATGTCGTTCAAAATCAGTGCGTTTGCTGTTGATGTTGATTTGTTGTTGATCTCGAGACTGGTCGACAGCGTACTCGAGGCGGCAGTGTCCATGTCGTCGTGGCTGTTGGTCATAGAGATTCTTTGGATGGTACCCAAATGATTGGTCCCGATTGTGACCAGATCATCGCTTTGACTTTACTGTAGATCTCTTCGATGGTGTCGCCTTGGACCACTCCTACACCGAACGGTTTATACATAATAATTATTGTTTACATATTATTTATGGTTATCTAAGCGGTTAGAACAAACCTGTGAAGTATTCGCCGAACTCTTGTTCCATTTTAATCGCACGTTCGTAAGTTTTCTTCGCTTGCTCTTCCGTCATGCGTCGATTCATTTCCCTGGAAGCATATAAGAACATTTTTTTGATTGTAGCGAAATAAAATATACCTCGAAGTTCTAAAGGACTACGAACCCTCTACACTTCCTCCAGGTCAGAAAAAATTTACTATGAATTATCTCAGCGATCGGAATTTAACCGAGCGAGGTTAAGAAGAATTAATTATGTGTACCGAAGGTGGAGGGGATCGGCTTCTCCTCCGCTCGAAGCCTGCTCAACCCAACAGTGGCAATTCCCATCACGATGTTCACATTGGGCAAAGTAATTGATGGCATGTGTGCCAGAGTCTCACCAAACTTTTTTAGGTCTAAGTTTTTAGTCTGGCAGTGAAGGGTGCCAAGGATGAGTCTCTACTCTTTGCATTCTACTATATACCACATGATTGGGAGACGTTGATGCTAACGGCCATCATACGATCTGGGCAGCCCGTGTCTACTCGTGCAGGGGCTGAACGCGAATTTTAGGGGATGCAAGAAGTTCAGCTGTGTGCTCCACTCATTGAGAGAGGCGAGGGTAGTTTTCACCCCGAAGGTAGGTAAAAACAACCCGACATACTCAAAGGAATTTAGGTTAACTTGCTGAAAATGCTAGAGAAAATCATGGACACACAAATTAGGACCGCATCACCCTCCAGGAGCTTGTCCAAGGCGCATCACGCCTATACAAAGGGTAGATAAGTAGAGACTGCATTCGATACAATGGTATTTAATATGGAAAGGGTTATTGAATATAAGGAATACGCTCTTAGAGCGTTCCTGGACATTTCTGGACCGTTGAACAACGTCTCTACGGAATCTATTCTGAACAATATCCAGTCCATAGGTGTTGATCGAGTTATACAACGCTGGATCAGAAGCTTTTTGACCTCTATACGGATAAGAGTACAATGGAACGACGCTAAAATGACCAAGGAAGACTCAGCTTCTATGGACATTAGTGGTGAGTAAGCTTTTAAAGATTTAGAAAGCAAGTCCCCTAAGATAGTGGCCTATGCGGACGACATTGTCATCTAGGTGTCTACAAACCATTTCAGTATTATGAACCGCTCTCTACACAGTCCACAATTGGGCATCGCAAGCGGGTTTGGGCTTGAACTCAGAGCAAACGCATCTGATTGTGTTTACAAGAAAGCACAAAACTACTGTATGGAGGTTCCATTCGATAAATGGGACACAGATCTCTCTCAACTACTTCTTCACTGACTTCCTTCCTTATCCCTAGCAGACTTCCTAAGCCATCCGTTAGATGAGTTTGACGACAACTAACTTACGCCTTGTCACCCACACAGGGCCTGTATAACAGTTACGATCACAACAATACCGTCCGATGCGATAATTAGAATATACTAGAATATACTAGGTTGGTAGTACTGTCAGTCACATTTAGTCCAAATTTCATGTCAAAATATTCATTACTGTTTGAGATACGTGTCGTTTTGTGAGTGAGTTTTTCGTTTTTTGCGATGTCGAAATTTGTTGAGCAAAGAATTTGCATTAAATTTTGTTTACGGAATCAATTTTCTGCTGCGAATACGTTGAGGATGGTGCAGAAAGCCTTTGGTGATAAGGCTATGTCTAAAAAAAAAATGTTTACAAGTGGTATAGTGAGTTCCAAGCCGGCCGTGAACGTGTCGAAGACGAAGAGCGTCCAGGGCGACCATCAACCTCAACCGACGAAGCTCATGTTCAACAAATCAAAGATTTGGTGTTAAAAAACCGTCGATTAACAATTAGAGACCTTGCTGATGAAGTTGGCATATCGAAAGGCTCCGCCAATACCATTTTGAAGAATGTTTTGCGCTTCAGGCGCGTCAAATCTCGACTGGTACCGAAAGCATTGCATTTTTTGGAAAAAAGGCGTCGCGTTGAAGTGTGTGAAACGATGCTTTCCGACTATCAGGGTGTCATGTAACGCATTATAATTGGAGATGAGACTTGGATCCACGCTTACGACCCCGAAACAATCGATCAATCGAGCGAATATCGTGCCAAAAGAGAGTCGAGACCAAAAAAAATCGCGCCAAAGTCATGTTGACTGTTTTCTTCGATTATCGTGGTGTTGTGCTTTATGAATTCCTTCCAACCGGTCAAACGGTCAACAAGGAATATTATTTGAACGTTATGCGTCGTTTGCGTAACGCTATCCGCCTAAAAGGGCCGGAATTGCGGAAAGACAATTCTTGGTTTTTACACCACGATAATGCAGCATTCCATACTGCCCACGTAATTCGTGATCATTTCGCCAAAAACTCAACCCATATCGTTCCGCAACCACCGTATTCACCTGATCTGGCGCCGTGCGACTTCTGTCTGTTCACCAAGCTCAAAAGACCGCTCCGGGGACACCGTTTTTATACGATAGAGGAGATTCAAGCCGCAGCGAAGACGGAACTGAAGGCCATCCCGGAAAGTGACTACAACCAGTGTTTCGAAAATTGGAAAATCCGTTGGCATAAGTTTATTGCATCAGGAGGGGATTACTTTGAAGGGGATGAAATTGATTTGGAAGAATAAATAAAGAATTTTCAAAATAAATACAATGTCACCCTATTTTTTGGGCACAGTACCTAGAGATTCCTACAAGGACGGTCATCAATTCCAATTTCTGGAATACTCTACCAGACTTTGTATCGTTAAAGTAGAAAACTTTAACCTTAGTTAGTACGTCAAAAACTGAACATAAAAAAGCTCTCGACACTCCAAGAACAAGTGAAATTTTCGCGTTTGGGACGTAGACCAACCTAAATTGATTGGATCCGGTGGAATCATCTATCCATAGTTTCAAAAATGATAACGGCGAGAACGTAATCGTCAATGGCGACCATTGTAACGACATGATAAACGACTATTTGATGCCTCAAATTTAAGTTCGTGATCTCGGCGACATTTGGTTTCAAGAAGACGGCGCCACTTCCCACACTTCGCATCAATGAATGGATTTATTGGGAGAACACTTCGGTGAACAGATAAATTCACGTTTTCGGCCTGTCGATTAGCCACCAAGATCGAGTGGTATTAGAGGGAATGATTCCTGTGGGAATATGCGGACAATCCCGCTTCGATTCAGTCATTGGAGCAAAACATCACGTGTGTCATTCGCTAATTACCGACATCGAACGAAGCATCGAAAATTTGACTCAACTGATGGACCATTTAAGACTTAGCCGCGCCCAACATTTAAAAGAGATAATCTACAAAAAATAAATTCCAAAGAATGTTCATTCGAAAGGTAGTAATCATTCCTCATTAAACTTGAAGTTTCTGTGTTTTTTTCTTTCTTCAAAAAAGTAGGAAATCTTGAAATCTAAACTCTCTGGTACTAACTCGTAAATACCGTTAATAGATTTAAAATTTCGAAACTTACATTATTGAGTCCACCGATTTCGGTTTGATAAATATAGCAATTGGATATAGTTGAGCGACTTGCAACCGCTTAATGGCATTGCCCGAGACATCTAAAATGCAGTGTTTACCCTTCTCCGCAACCTCGCGTACGCTCGCCACCGATGTGCCATAGAGGTTATCATTGTATTGGCCCGCTTCGATGAACAGATGATTTTGTATATCGCGTTCCATTTGCTCACGTGACGAAACAAAATGATAATCACGACCATCCACCTCGTAATCACGCTTCGGCCGAGTCGTGTCTGCAATGGAAAGTTAATATTATAATATTTATTGTCTTTTTCATTGTTGTTGTAAGAGTATTATATGTATTTTGCGCTACACTCACGTGGCACACAGGAGCCAAACTTCTCGGGATACTCCGATATCAAGTCATCATTGATGCGATCCTTCAACGGGCCGAGCACAATTACCGGTCGTGTATAGTTAATGGATAACCGTTGTACGGCCTCGTACGAGAGCACATTCTCTTCGGATGCTGTAAAATATGCATAAAACGGGATGTCATGACGGTAATGAAGTATGGAAGTTGCGAACGAAACAAAAACAAAAAAAAAAAAAGATGTTTTCAATGCAATGCAAAATATGCAATTGACATTTCTCATTAACGGTTCAAATTGATTAAATAATATTTATTATATAAGTATATATGCATATAGATATTATATATTTGTAAATATATTTTAAGTTAATTAATCTTATAAATATTTATTTACGGCAAAGAATTACTAAATTATTAGCGAATTATCTGCCCTACCAACATTTTTGGGAATGCACTGACGCTTGCAGAGCATAATTTTTTTTTTTCTTTTTTTTATTTATTTATTTTCAAATGTACTTTTGGAGTTTCTTGCATTCACTGTTTTGCTAGAAAATATTAATTTTTAATTAATGAATTTATTTATTTTCAATCATCAGTAAAAAATTTTCGCATTTACATTACAAACTCAAATCAACTAAACTTTTTTAAGAGCGGCTACTAATAATTTCTTTGTAGTTGTAATTGGCGGAACAGAAAAACACAAGGCGACAGACACAACAAAGCGCAAACGAGGGACAAAAAACAATATTACTTTATTTTTTTTTTCACTAAAACAATTTACAATTCGAGTTCTTAACTAAAGTTCAGCGGAGAAATAAAAAATAGCAGAAACAAAAAGGCACAAATTGAGTTCTACGGGCGAGGCAGGTACACACACACATTAACAGTAATTTAAGTATGTATGTACAAATGTTTAAGCGTACAATAGTTTATATACAGGCTTATATGTATACCCTCAAAGTAATTAATGGCTAACGGACAGACAGCAATAGATTTTGAGACTTATTTATAATTAACAAAAATAGTTAAGAGTAATGTTTGTATATTTAATAATCCCTGTGCGGTTATTATTTAAACTTTCTAAACAATAAAATATATTCCATACTTTCATGTGGAAAGTAACCAATTACTCTTATCTCTATATTTTTTAAACAGAAAACTCTATTTATTTAACAAGTTAACGAATTATGTATTCTGTTCAGCGTCATCTCCAGGGTTCTATGTGTCAATCTAGCGAATTCATAATTTATTTCAGTTTTTTTTTACAATATACCTTCATTAATAAACTGTAAGTAATAACGAAATAAATAATCAAACAACATGCTGCGGAACTAAAACATTGCTTAAGGAGGTAATCTTGTTTAGAAAAAAATTGTTTTTATTTTTTCAATGTTTTCAAGAACATGTCTACACGACGATTTAAAAAAAAACCAATTTATCTTCGGAGATAAAGGTAATTTGCTGACCCGACATCCAGAGTGAATTTTCAAAAGATCAATTTTTTTTTTATTTATTTTTTTTT